TGATGTTGTAGTTGACCATGTGGAAGACTCTGATGATGATATTGATGACATCGTTGTCATTGACTGTTGTGTTATTGGCGGAAGTGGCATCACCATGGACGATTGGAATGAAGATGGTGGCACGGAAACGGACTGTCCTACTGACACCCGTGATGGAACTAGTATCAGCGGTGATTGCCGTAACGACGATGGAGAAGGTGATAACGGTTGTATAAGTTGTGGCGGTGGCATCCCCCAAGGTGGATTTCGTATAGGTATCTTTGGCAGCAGAGGAGGAGGTGGTTGCGATGGCGAAGGTGCTGATGAGGTTGATAGTAAGCGGGATGCTGACGACAATGGTAAAAGTGATGGCGAAGGTGTTGATGAGGTTGGTAGTAAGCGGGATGCAGACGATAATGGTAAAAGTGATGGCGAAAGTGTCAACGGAGATTGCGGTTGTAGTGGGTGCATCAATGGCGGCAGTCTCGGTGGACTCAGTGGCGGTGGCTGATGTGGAGACGACGTTAATGATGATAAGGTTGATGACCAGAGTGATAACGATGCTGATAATGATGCTGAATGCGATTGCGACGGTGTCAGGGTAGATTGCAGTGTCGGTGATAGGAAAATCGATCTTGGCGGGGAAATTTGCGGTTCTTGAGGTGGCGCTGGTATAGATGAAGATGAAGTGGAGAGTAATACTGAGGACGGTGGTGCATGGGATAAGGTCAGAGTCGGAGAAGAATGTTGTGGCAGTAACGCTACGGGAAGTGGAAGTGGTGGGAAGAAAATCGGTCGTGGATGGACAATTTGCGGTTCTTGAGTAGCCGATGGTGTGGATAAGAATGAAGCTGACAGTAAAGCTGGGGACGATCTTGAATACGATGGCGACAGTGTCAGGGAAGATAGCAGTGATGTTACTTGTGCCGATAATGGTCCTGGTGGAAGGATAATCGGTCGTGGCCGGATAATTTGCGGTTCTTGAGGTGGCGATGGAGGGGTTGATGATGAAGCTGACAATGCTGAAGATGGCCAATTTGATGGCGACGGTGTCGGTGTAGACGGCGATGATGTCAAAGGCGATTGTGCCGAGGATGGCGCAAGAATAGCTATGACCCACAGTGAGAACATAGCATCCGCAACTGAGAGACACCAGAAATGTATTAAGAGGAAAATGATGAACAAGAGCTTAAATCTCGAAACACCAAAGCCGAGAAAAGTCACATTAGCCAATCAGATAAAAAAGAAACATCAGACGGAAAGTGCAAAAAAAGTTAGATCTTAACAAGTCGCTATTGGTTTTAGCTTAGCATCTGATTAGTTGAGATGGTGACGCGTGTCTTCTACATCGCCAAAAAGGGAAATGCAATAAAATTCTACATGACCTTTGACACTCAATTGAAATGAAAGTCGACCACGAACCCAGCGTAGTGATTCAAATTTCAGTTATGATAATAATAATGATGATGATCGATATTGAAAGATTTCTGTAGCGCCATATCTATAGACTCATGGTTCTTTACAAAACTGTGCGGGTAACTTTGGCCAGACAGCATTGAGTAGTATGCAGTTTTTTAAGGGAAATTTTTGCAAATGTAAGTTAACTCTTGAACCATATTGCAAAACAAAACAAGACAAACAAACAAACAAGTTTCGTGTATCGTTGCTTGAGAGGTACTTCAAAGCGTTTTATGCGCAGTGCGCATCACTTCCCGAGATTCTAAACCTTCACTCTCCTCATACAACGCTTTTCACAGCCAAAACATCATCGACTAGACTATAAAAAACTGAATCCGTTCATTATTTTGATGAATTTTATAATGATCAACGAAGCTACATTTACTTGATGAGAAAACGTCTTGAAATAATTCTGTTTAGGCTCTCCAGAGTTCTCGAATGGATCGGCCATTTCACCAGGCTCTCAAACATCCACTCAAATTTTTCTTAGCTTTTTGTATATTTTGGCTCTTGATTAGTAAATTTACCTTGGTATGATGAACTAAACTTCATGCATTGAAAAGTTTGAGCGCTTGATGAGCTAAGTTTCACCCTAGGGGGGGAAGTTACGGCTTCACGTGGGCTAAAATTTACCTCGTAAATAACGTCTCGTTATGTTGAATTCTATCGTCTGGTTATTAGCTCCACCTAAAAACTAGTTAAAATGTAGGAAATGGAGAAAATGTTTCTTAGAAGGTATGGTTATGGAATCTTATCATGATTTTAGGTCTGAATTTCTTTATTGACTATGCTTTTATGTTGACAGCGTCATGATATAATTTATCTAAGTTGCACTTTTAACGTCATACCTTGAGCGATTCCGTCGTAAACTTCAGGCCTCAAGTGTGTCTCAGTGGAAGGGTTACCGAACAACTCACAGAATGTCAAGGCTTTATTTCTACTAAGGCTTATTAAATTAAAAAATCCCAAATAAAGATTTCGAAAGCTTTAATTTGATTGTCAAACTTCCTTCCAAAACCGTGTTCTACGACAATAAGAAGAACGAAAACAAACTAGACAAATAAAGGAAAGGGCTCAGATTTCTGAGGCAAAGATAAATTTTCACAAGTTTCGCTGTGTAAGAAATTAATGAGCTAGTAACAAGAACGGATGAGTCCTTTTTGTCTTTGATCATCCTATTTAGGACTTGCGTCTTGGGGCTTTTGTGCAAGAGTTTGATTGTGTCGAAAACAGGAAACTATGATTTAAAAGCACAGGAAAGCAGCGTTAATTTCGACCAATGTCTCGGTAAAAAAGGTAGGTTCTGTTTCTGCCATTTGCTCGGCTTCGGTCATTGAGAAGGAACTCTATTGAGGCGGGACGTGGGTGCATCCCCTGGACAGCGGCCTGTTATCGCACCAAAAATAAACCTTGGAGTGAAAAAAGTACATGCGCGAATTTTAAATATACTTTTAAATTTGTAGTTTCATTAGGCTGTCGTACTATCAGTTTTTATATTGCTGCATTATCGCGGAAGTATTTTTGACCACTGTGTCTTGTGATATGTCGGAAATATCGACATCAAACAAGACGCGTTTATTTCATGTTCGTAAGCGGAAGGTTGGTCCATCAAGTAACTGACAAAAGCTAACAAATGAAGGAAAGAAAGATTTCTGAATTGCACTGATATACATTGTTTAATTAAAACTGATGAAGGTTCCTGGAGCTTCATACTTTGAATTTTTACGCAAGATTTTCGTTTTAACCCATTCTTCATTGAGGATATTCATTATGCATTACTCATTATTTGTTTTTGATAAAAACAAATAATGATAATAAGGAAAAAAACAGAACAAAGGATAAAATAACAGTTTACCTTTGGGGCTCATGCTTTGTCGAAGATCAGTTTGGGGTGCTATAGAAATCTTTCCAATTTTTCACAGTTTTGATCACGAAAGAACCAAACGCGACATAATCAAGTCCAAGTCCAACTTCAAGCTTCAAGCTCAAGTTCATTCAGTACTTTAAACTTTTTAAAGAATAGTTTTAAAAACATAATCATAATGTTTTTAAAACTAACACTTTATATAATATAAATGTGGGGGAAGACCTTTAGAAATCCTAGGG